TATGTTTAGAGAATATATGATATAAATATTTATATAATAGTATAAACAAAAAACAATTTCAATTTTTTAAATTTGATTTACTAAATTAAACACGTTATTATAATCCTAAGTAATAACATCCTGTTTATTATTATTGTTGATATAACTTGTTACTTAATACATATTATTGTTAGTTAATAATAAGTATATATCTATTATTGTAATATTAGTTTAATACCTTTATACTAATTCATTTGATTTTATGTTTTATTTCATATTTAATTACTATTTTTTTTTTTTTTTGTTAATTACAAAAACAAAATACCTGCTAACACTTAAGAGCATATCAATAACAAACCTATTAACAAATTAACTGCAATAGTATTTAATGTTTACTTTAGAAAAACTATTAATTATATGTATTGCATTGATTCTTAAAACTAAAATGTGTTTTATATGCCATTAAAATTTCACTAGAGGTTTTCACTGTTAGTAGTATTAAATATATATAATATAATACGAGTTAGTGGTTATTTGTTAGAGGGAGATAAAAAATTTGATGTAGTTAGTACTTTCCGGTGGTAGGTCAAAAGTAAAAATGTTCCAGTATTTTTTTCAATAATTAGGAAAAACAATAAAAAATTTAAGGAAAACTGGAATTCTACGCTAAACCAGTTTTCGATAAAATTGATTTCTTTATTTTGTTATAATTCATTAACAAATAACTATAAAATGTTTGTATCATTATTTTTCACATGGTATAATTTTCAAAATATTTTGATTCTCTATAGACAATTGAAATTTTTAACTATTTTTAGTTCTAATCAAAAAGTTTAAAAATTAATACAAGATACTATATAAGTTATTCTTATATCTGTATAAAAAAATTTAAGAAACATAAACATTTTTTTATAAGCATTTGAATTTAGTATTTTATTTTGGTAAAATTCGTCAAAATTACAAAAATTTCAAAAAAATTATATAGTTAGAAAGTCATAAAAAGAATTTGTTTGTATCAAAGATATAAAAATTTAGTACAAGATTCTTTATAAGCAGTTCTTAGATACATTCATCATACATAGAACCCAAAAATCTAAAAAAAAATAATATAAATACTGTCAATACTGATTCTAAATTTGGGTTTCAATTTGGACAAAATTACATATTATTTAAATAATGAATAACAATGTTTATTATTTTCTTATAATTCAAAAATATTATTCGTTGGAACTTGAAATTTTTACATATATCATGAATTATATACAATGACGTTTTTAAAAAAAATTTGTTTAATTTTAATATATTATCTATTCATACTGATTAATAGTAAAGTAATATTTACTCAGAAGTTACTAAAAATAATATAATATGATATAAATATGTGTTATAAAAATTTACAATAATTAAACACTATAAGTAAAATAAATTACTTTGATAGAAATATCAAAAAATATGCTTAGCATGATTTAAATAGTAAGCTATCTAGTAAATAACGACTTATGAGGATCTTGTATTGATTTTTCAAGCTTAACTGAATGAACAATTTTTATTGTCATTTATACATAGAATCATATCTTAGTACATACCTTCATAGAAAATATTCGATAAATTTTACCATGGCTAGAGAATTTGTTAAAAATTTCAAGTATTTAGAATCATTTATGAATTCCGATTTAAAATTAAAAAAAAATATATTTTGTTCGAACATTCTATTTCGTAAGTATTTAAACTTAGACGTTCATAAATAATACTTGTAGAAGTACAATAAATTTCTTATTGATCAAATAATAAAAACTTGAGAAACTTTATCATGCTTTAAAATCTTTAGTATGGGAAAACCAACTACTAAATAATTTCAAAATAAAATAGTGCTATGGGAGGAAATAATACACTTAAGGAAATACCTGAAGGTATAGGTTACTGAGTTACTTCAACATATCTAAATATGTATATACCAATATCACTAGTTACTACTAATATTTCACTCACATTTTTTATTTAATATAATATATATTATTAGGTTTCACAGTTGTAGATATATTATATTTATAGATGGGTTAATTGCTGAAAAAATGATTTATTTAAGTTTTCTTTTTGTAATTTTAATATTTGTTCTATAATTATAATCTGTTGTAGTATTCCTATAAATATTTTATTTTCAGATTGTTATTAGGGTTTTTCCATTTTTCTTTTTAGTTATTAATTTATACATATACTACAATGTTATAATGATGAACATTATGTGAACTTAAGAAAAAATGATTTTCCTTCAGTGTTCTTTGTGTAATGTGATATAACATGCTGGCAGAGAAACTGTAAAATATATATTAATTACTGTGATAAATTATTAAAGTTAGGGAAACGTGTTCTATAAATATTATCTTATTATTATATATATATAAATATATTATAAAATAATTATCTAAATGTAAATATTTTTTCTAGAATAATTTTTTTGTAAAAAGTTTTACATATATTTTTTAATGAATACTAAACAAGTTTTATAGTTAAATTTACTATCAAGAAAAAATGTATTAAACTATTTATTTTATAATTTTATATACTTTTGGTTGCTTTGTATTAAATAAATTACAAAAAAAAGTTCTGTAACCTATAGTTTTTTTAAAGATAAACCTTTTAAATTTTGTAATTTGTAATTTAGATTCTAATTTCTTTAACATATTATTGGAGATGTATAAAAAGTAATTATATGAATTTTAAAGTATACATTTTAAATTTAATCGTCAAATAGGTTAGTTAATTATTATTTTTACTCATGACCACTATTATAATATCAAAACTTAATAATCTAGTTTATTTAATAAAATACCAATTTAAATTTAAAAATTACTAATACTAATACTTAGGTACAATAGAAAGGAAGATATTTTTCAACTATAGGTATAATACACGATTTTATTAAAATATACATTTAAGTTTTGTGGGCTTGTGGCATTATAGTGATTGTTTTTCTCTATACTTAATAATTAATATTCAGTTCTGTTCCTTACCAATATTCACACTCATTACGTCTATAAAGGCAAATACTTTATAGTGTTATAATTATAATATAATTATTTTGTGAATATTATATATTTATTAGAATATTATATCATTAAATTATTACAATATATTGTTCACATAATGAGGTATCAACATTAAGAATGTTTTAACATTACTAAGTATTTTAAACCTATAGTAGGTAAATTGGGCAGGTAGACTATTCATAAATTTAATTAACATAAATAAATTACTTTCAAAAATTGTAATTATTGCCCTGCAGTTGCTATATGTTAGATCTAGAGTAACATCCTACATTCCTATTTCCTACTAACAACCATTATAGTACTAGTATATATCCCTACTATTAACAATTTTTTAAACACATTTTATAATATTATTTAAAAACTAATTAATGGTCTATCGCCCATAGGTAAAAATTTTATAATGAATATTTATAATTAGGAAATTCCGATTACTCAACTTGTTTTTAATCATAATTATTTCTCTAGCTTATAAAAAAGTTTTGTATCATATATTTACATCTTCCGTTTATTTTAAATAATTATTATTATTAAAATAAAAATAAAAAAGATAAAGCATAAAATTTAGTGTAATAGAATATTAAAGCAATAAGTGTTGATATGTATATTTTATTTTTTAAATATTTTAAATTAAATTTCATATTTCAAATTAAATTTAAGTATGTTTCTTGATCCGCGAGTTGGTACCTAGTATATTAAATAATTTGTATAACATTTGATATGAATTTTACAAAAACGCATTTTTTTTATTTCTAAATAAGACTACAATAATGTTAAATAATTTTTTTACCATTAACTTAAAAAAAGATCATTTTTAAGATTTACCAAATAAAAATAAATAATTAACAATTATAATAATTTATGTTATAATTGATTAGCACATTACCAATCAATAGTTTTGTTCTGATTTCAAATATTCCATGAGTTACTCAAATGATTACTCAAAAACATAAAAAAATGATTCTGCGTGAATGTTTTTTTTATTACGCACGCGTGAGCCAGTGATAGAAAACAATCAGTGCGTTGACATCCTCTTAATGTTTATCATTAATGTGTAAACATAATCTATTGGTATTTTTTCATTGTATAAATAAAATAAATTGTTAATAGATCTTTTTTTAAACCCTTTTATAAACATTGTTTTGTGTAAGCATAGTGGAGCATGGCAACTGCATTACGGGTACCTAATACATACACATACTATTACACTATGTATCCTGCAGACGATTGCTAAAGACGCGTTTAAGTCAAAGAAAACAAATTCGTTTTGTAAATCATCGGAATATACGCCGTCAAGATTACACCTACGCGCATTATTTCACAGTCGCGTACATCGTCTCGCAATATCATAGCAATATATTATCATTCTCATTCATACAATCATAATATACTCAATACTCATATAGATAGGCACGCTTAATGTCTGACGGTGTGTAGGTTAAAGGTTTTTATATCTTTGTAATTACGATACGTGCGGCGCGACGAGTTATTCGTCTAGGAATGCCGGGGACGAGCCGCGTATTTTTAAACGAATTCTGTTCGTTTAGTTTCATTCGGGCACGCTCTTCGACTAAAAATAAAAATCGTACAACACCGACAATGGCATATAGGTACACAATATCATTAATTGTTATTATTATATACAGACATACAGTCGTATACCATAGGTACGCGTTATATTATTATTATGGTAATATCGCGCTCGCGGCGGCGTATTTCTATTGACAGAGAGGCGGCGGTAAAAACACTCCCAATTACGGGGCCCGGTCCAATCCTTTCGTACGGACGGGTAAAAATAAAAATAAAAAAAAAAAGTGGTAGAAGAGAGAAAAAAAACCGAAACGCACACGCGAGCGCATTTCGGTGGGCGTGTATCGCGTCGTGCACCGTCGTGCACCGTCGGCGACCGCGGGCACCGGTCGCGTCGGAGGGGGCAAACGCCGTCCATCCGTTGGGGTAGGTTAACCAAGCCCGCGGCGCAGCAGATGAACCTGCAATAATCGCCGCTGCCGCCACCGACGCGACGCACACAGACCGGTCCGCTCAGTGTCTCGCAGTTGTACTTGTGCGCTTTTTGTCAGTCGATCACGTGCGGGTTTCGCATAAACGTTTTAATTGTTTTTTTTCGCGTTTCGTATTTCTGTTACCGGCAATAATATTGACCGCGCCGCAGTGTATCCGTACATCGGTACAAACAATATCGGCACCTATTTCGTAAATGCTCGTCGTTAGTGTATGTATAATTATAAATAAATAAAAAGTGTTCTAGAGACTTCGCGCTCGTCCGATTTAGCGGATATTGATGTTAGTTTTTTTGTTTATCGTTCGTTGAAATGCTGTTATTTATCTCGAATCGCGCATCGTTCTCGTCTCCATCACCGGTCACGGTATCGACGATTTAAACCGAGATTATAGTCATTCACCACGGTATCCAAGACCTCGGTCGCCACACACGCTTTTACCAGCCAGCTCGACCTACAAATGACTCATTGTTGATCGACCATCGGAGAAAACTCGAGTTTAAACAGTAAGTTAACGACATATTTATGATACGAATTGCAATTATTATTGGAACTGTCATTTGTACATATATACCCATTCCTTTGCTTGATATTTTTTGGTGCGGGTGAACTTAACTACGACTACATTGAGTCAAGTATTGTTAAAATTTAATTCCTCTATGAAACCGTAATTATACTTCAATCAGTGATGGACCCCCTTAAGATCCAACGCCCATTTCAAATAAACCCTAAATTTATGATTATATGAAGGGAATCGATTAAATAGAAGGGGTTCACCGACCAAATCGTTCTTTCCAAGTATGTTCACCCTTTGTCATTTCTCTATTAGAATTATTAGACTGGCTTGTAATACTGATATATTTTATTTCATTTGAAAATAATATTGATTACTGATTGAGTAAATATTTATTATATTTATGTTACTTTAAAAAATATTTGTCTCATTCATAACGTGGTATTTTACAGTTAATACGCTTTCTTATATTTATTTCTATCGCTGTCTAATGTTAATTAAAAATCAACTTGTACAATTTATTTTTAATAATAACGAAATTCCCGGTGGATAAAGAATAACCAATTTAATTGAAAAGTTCTTATGCTCGTGCTATGGTGTTCAATTTATATATAGATAAAAAAAAAGCTACTCAAATACCGGTTCAACGTATTTTTTCAATAAATATCACTGATAAGTTAACAAGACGTTTATTCTAAGTACCTCATTAACGACGTATTTCATTTGATATCGAATGGAATGATTATAAAAAATATATATATTATAAATGATAAATACCTAACATCTTATCAAGGTTTTTATTTTAAATTTTTAGCCAATTGTGGCTTATAATAAATATACCTGTATACCTATATACATATTATATATATGTTTGTTATCTAATATTGGTATGTTTATACATTTTTATGAAATCTGAGTATCCCTTTATATTAGACTATCGGTCTACTCCCCATTTTGTTTTTGAGGGTGAGATGGAGAATAGTGGAATATTTTGACACAAATTAACACGTTGTAGTTAGAAATTTAATGGTAGGTAAGTAATATTGTAATGTTATTGTCATTGAAAAACCTCGAGATGTTCTCGAATGATAATATTGTTGTATAAAATATATATATATATATTAAAAATGGATGTAATAACCAAGTAATTGTTTAAACAATAATTTTTATGTGCTAACTTCCCCACTTTTTCAAACAGATGGTTGATTGAAACTATTGACTATTTATGAATTGAATGATAATTGCTGACTAATGTAAAACTATACCATTGTGTTTTACTTATTAGTAATACGCAATATATACCTAATTATATTAATAACTAAATTGAATGTACTTACCTGATTAATATAATTCAACACACATTAAATAATGAATTGATCTTAAATAACGTTATTACCAATTTTTATTTTTAGAAATCCTAGATTATTTAATATTAACAAATATACTAAATATAGATATTATTAATTTTATATAAACTGTTATAGATGTTTACATTTTAAATTCTTAAATTTTATATGAGTTGCTAATAAATAATAATTAATGGGTGACCTACTACACGGTTTTTAGTGTAGTATCATAAATAATTATGTTGATATTTTAAAGTAGAGTACCTATAGTCAGTACTATATAATTTATTTATATATTTATTTAACTTATTAGGTATATATTTTATATGTTCACAATTACGCATATTGTTTAATTCAACAGCGATGGAATAGATAACGTGACCAACTTTTTTCGTCAGGTTCATAAATAACTTATCTGCGGTTTCAGAAGTTTTTATTTATGATTCTAAATGCATATATACAAAATTATTTTATGGTAGAGATTCCAATTTCCAACCGAAAATATAAGTCATAAAAATAATGTTCAATTTTCAGCGAGAAAGCTCTCACTTTTCTTTACTTATTTTTTTCTTCCCCTCCCGTCTGTATTTATCCCCTACTCGCTCACTTTCTCGTCCATCTCTTCTTTCGCCCCAAATGAAAACCATTTTCTTCAAAATCACACATACACACTGACGATTCTGAGGATAAAATAAGGGTAGGATACGCGGAGTACGATGTACCGGGTGGTGAAGTATGGAGGCGGTGGCAGTAGTGGGAAAAAAAGGAAAAAAAAGTGCACGACGGCGGTGGTCTCTATCCCGATCATTCCCTTCCCTTATTCATTAGAAAGAGGGGCCCCGTGCTTGAAGAGGCATTTATTTTATGGCTTTTTGTTTTGTCCAGGGAACGGTCGGCCATTTTTCCGTCCCGCGCGCACCGCTGTCGCGCATACCGCGGCGGTGAAAACAAAAATGAAAAACTCGACCCTTGCGGCGAAAACGATTTTTTACCCGCTCGCTTGGCCTTCTTTCACACTGCGCCCCCCGGTCCAATCAATACCGGCAATCATCGTTTCTCTCTCCTCGATGTTCATATATATACACACGACGACGTCATGCGCCCTAAAACTTTACCGAGGCATTTTTTCTTTCTTCTTACTTCTCTTTTATTTTATATTTTTTCTTCGCGTCCCTTAAAAATCGATTCGACGAAATATAACGGCTGCCATGTACGTTATACACCACGTCATAACGATAAATGCGTATAGGATGTATTAAAAAGTTTTATTTTTTTTTTGTCGTTTTGCAGAAAAATGTTTTTGGAAAACGAACATCAACCAATTATTAGCCATTCGCAGTACGACCTTGCACGTCCGCTTGAACATCATCACCATCATCACCTTAACCATCACGTCGCGTCCAATCATCTTCAATCGAGTACCGATCACCTACAAGACGACTCGGAAGGCCGAAGTTCGGCCAGCTCTCCGACGTCCAGCTATCGGGACCTGTCAGGGTGTGAAGATTTCGACTTGAAAATCCCGAAACCGTCTGGTATTGGGTCTGGTACTGGTGGTAATAACAATAACAACAGTCCCAACAACAATAATAACAACAATAACAAAGAACAGAAACCGAAAAAGCACAAGTGCAAGCACTGTGGGCTGGAGTGCACTGAAAAAGTGCAATACTGGAAGCACATTCGCACGCACATCAAACCTGAGCAGTTATTAGAGTGCCCAAACTGCGAGTTTGCCACCGACCTGAAGCACCACTACGAATACCACCTGCTGAACCACACGGGTGCCAAGCCGTTCACGTGCCCAGACTGCGACTACAAGTGTGTGAGCAAGTCAATGCTCCAATCGCACCTCAAATCGCACTCGAACGTGTTTCAGTTTCAGTGCTACGACTGCGGATACGCATCCAAATACATGCACAGCCTCAAGCAACACCTGAAGAAGCGCGACCACCGGCCGGCCACGCCGCTCAACCCAGACGGTACTCCAAACCCGGACATCGTCATCGATGTGGTAGGCAACCGACGCGGTCCTCGGCAGAACAAGAAACAGAACCGTCACAACCCGTATCAGCAACAGCCAACACAGCAGTCCGTAACCGTGTGTTCGTCGCAAGACGATGGCGGCAGCAGCAGTGGCGGACACCCGTCACCATACTCTATGCAACAACTTTTGCAGATGCCCTCGTCCGGATGTGCCCAGGTCTCGTACCCGACCTCGGCCGAGTCGTTCATGTACTCGATGATCACCAAGCGCTCCATAGAGATGGTCGACTACCAGGCCGCTGAATACATGGCCATCAAGAATAACAACAATAATAACTCTTCGTCGGTCGACGACAAGATGGACGTACAACAGAACCATCACCACCATCACCATCACCAACAACAGCAACATAACCACAATCACCATCATAAACGCGGCCATCAATACCATCCAGATGACGTGGTTAGTAGTGCGGAATTGGCCGGAGGCAGCGGTAGCGGTGGTGATCGGACGCCTGAACCGCAGGCACCCGTGCTAGCGGTTGCCGATCCGTCGCCCCCGCCCACAATGACCATAGAAACGGGACCGTTGAACTTGAGCAGAGACTCGGTGGCACCTCGCGCCGCGGGTAGCAGTCGGCGCAAGGGGATCGCGTGCAAACTCGAACGGCCGGCAGCGGAACCTCAACCCAAGTCGGTGCCGGTTCCGGTGGTGATGGTCCCGACACCGCCAGTGGTTCCGATGGATTGCTGTAGCGAGCCCCGGAGAACAGTGGAGGAGGTTTTGCTGCCAGTGAAAGAAGAGTTTTACCAAAACTACCACCAGCACCAGCAGCAGCTGCAAACGTCGTCGTCTTCGACGCCCGAAAAAGATGACAAGGAAGACGAGACGCACGTGTGCCACCACTGCGACATAATATTCAAGGAGAACATCATGTACTCGATGCACATGGGATTCCACAGCTTCAGGGACCCATTCGCGTGCAACCTGTGCGGCGAGATAACGGCCGACAAGTTTTCGTTTTTCGCTCACATAGCACGCGTACCGCACAGTTAAGATTGTTATGAGGAGGTGCACCGCCCCGCCGCTACAGTCACGATAAGAAATAAAAATAATAGAGTACAAATTTTAAAACAATTAACCCTCTAGGTATGTAATATAGGATTTATCGTAAAAAAAAATTAAAACAGATTAAAAATATAAAATAATATTACACACCTCTTTCTTTTTAACAACTATAGTCTTTTCTAAATGTGCAGTTACCATTTTGTACAGATGAAAATCTTTTTTGGCATCAAATTAAAAAAGATTTTCATTCGTATGCGTTCCAGTGTCTATGTGTTCACGTGTTGTTAACCGGTTCCGGTTCTTAAATGTTGACAATTTTTCAACCTATAAGAGTCGGCTACCGTGTCTTCAAATCGTGATTGCGTATTTAACGCTGAATTGGTTATAGACTGCACAGATTTATATCGTTTTAAATTATAATAGTTGTTTAATTGTTTATCGTTTTAAATATTTTTCTTTCGTCACATTTTTCTCGGAAATCAAATTTGAATTATTTTTAAATTTTCTTTTCGATAAATGAAAACCGTTAAGCGATTTAAAAATATTTAACTCGTGTTTTCATTGTTAAACAAAAATTATTAGTAATTTTGATACATGTTAATTTTATTATCCTTAAAAATGACTTTTTTAAACTTACAACTAGAGAATAACGTAATAATGACAAATATTGGATATTTTTACTTTTAAATACCGTAATACCTCATCTTCCCAATTATTTTTATTGTTTAATCTAGTCGTCCCCTATTTCTTCTCGTATACTATAGTTAGTATCGTGTATATTAATGCACTTATGATAGATACTATTTAAAATTTTAAATTAAAAAAAAACTTATATTGGTTTTTATGTTTGTTGTGATAAGGTTGTTTTATGACGAGATATCGTCAATTTATATAAGTAAAAATTTAATTAAACCTATCCGCCGAGTAGGCGATTTTTTTTTTTTTTTTAGTTTTTTAAATTGTATATGTTTAAAGTAAAAAAAATTATGAATTTTATTGTTGGTGCTTGTATGTCTTGTATAAATAAAATCTCAATCACGGCATTAATGGAAGATCTAGTCAATCTTTTATATACCCCCATATCTCTCCAAAATATGCCCGTCTGTATAGCGCGTGCACAAAATTTTGCTCGATGTCGGATTGATGAAATTGTTCGAAGTTGTTGTTAGACTTTCGCGCACACGTTTTTCATATGCATCAGGATTAATTATTTGTAAAATAAAAATGTAATAGTCTGTAAATATTAATTTCATAATATGTATCATTAAAACACTACATAGTAACAATTTATAATATTATATTTTAATGTTAATACGTCAACAATGATACAACACTTGTTGTTAAAATCAATATAATATTATTAATTATATCTTCATTTTTATAATTTTTGTGATTAGATTGTTCGTAATCAACCCTCTCCTCCCTCATACTGTGATTTTAATTAAGACTAAAAATATCTTGAAAATGCCGTCTTGAATAATAATAATTAATTGTAATAAACTATCGTATATTATTATGTAATAATCTTTTACGAGATTGCGTTGTCGCACTCGTCTAACCATATATAATTATATATATATATATATATATAAAATATACCGCGTGTGTAAAGAGGCCTAAAGTCTGATCTCTGTATAGAATTTTAACGTTAAAATCATCCGGTCGTCTTATTTATATGACATTATATATATATATATATATTTAATATATAGTTAATTATATTATGTTTAGGTACTTATATAATAAACTGTTTTACTATGTAAATAAATATCTCTATGCAAACATAGGTTTAAAAGGTTTTTTTTCATTCTTTTATTTAGATTATCTAATTTTATCTGTAGTTGAAAAATACTACACGGATGTATAATAAAAATATTATGTGCCAAAGTTTAATAATTATCATACTTATCATATAATATTTATTTGAAGAGAATAAACGTGTTTACGTTTACCAATAAAAAAGAAATGTTTTTCATTTTATTATATTTACGATTTTTAACCTACGTATTATTTCCTATTGTTCTTACCTCCTCATTGATTATAGAGCTATTATATAGTTGTGTAGTAGCAAACGCGCAGGTAATAGTCAATAATAATTATTTTTATCTCTATATTTTTTTAGTAGACTTAAACAATTCTAGTTATTAATTATTAATATATGGATCATTTTAAATCAGAAATAATAAATATAAAGATCGCCAATGTCATATCATAATCTCTCATAAAATATTTTCTACGGTTAACGTGTTAATAATGTGTATTGTAACGAAACGAAAACGGATTCTACTCGCGATCGTAAACCCAAGGAAAATATCATTGTATACGAAAATATATGAATATAATACCATAAGGATGAAGCCACGAGGGTCTGATGTCGTGTGACTACCTGTGCGTGTGATAAATTTCATGTACCTGACGGTTGTCAATAGCGAACCATGGCTGTCAGTTACCGTGTAAAACGAGTGTTCGATGCGTGCACCGACCCGAGAACGCGTAAACAAAACGATTTCCGAGTTAAAAGGGGTTTAAAAGAGGACGACGCGACATCCTTACTTGGACTGGGTTTTGTGAACGGGTATTATTTTCACGATAAAATATGTACGGTGTTCGCAAACAGAAATGGAGTAGAAGACGACGTATGCATTATTTTATATTGTTATGTGTGTGTCAGGCGTATATGAAAAAATACGCAGAAATAGAAGTTTCGCGTTTACATTTGGGACAGGAAATAACAAATACCTGTACAGTGTACACCAAACCATAACCGTACATCAAGCCCTTCTACCTTATTGACTATTGTGTTAGCCACATTTCTATGCATCTTCACATTTATGATTTATGATGTATTTTAAAAATAAAATCGAAGAGAGTCTAACTAAAATCTAGCGTTTTTGAAACTTGCCACTGTTTTATATTGTACAGTATACTCGTATGTGGTCTACCGCACACGTCTTGTCGTCCATTATACCATGTATTTTATATTATTGTAAAGGTACTCGATATAATATAATGTTTATTTGTGTATAGGATTATGACATTTTTAATATTCGACATTAATGGTAAGTCAACAACTGATTGATTATGTTGTACATGTTTCCGATAATTGAAAATAACGAGAATAAAACATCAAGGATTAATTCATGCCTCTAATGATAAGTAAGCAATTCAAATCATGTATACAAGTTTTATTTTTTCAATACTTCATTTTCGCGAAAAATTAAACATTAGACATTATTACAGACACTTACTGATATGACTGTATTTTATTAATTACGGTTTGGTAGGTTAATACACGTGATTAGTTGATCAAAAATGTTTTAATTATAAGCAAAAATTATTAGTTTTAGTCTTGAATTTAACGAAACTTATTTCTGAGAATAGCCTTTTGAGTCATAACGTTTTATTTAATGGTCTTTAAATGTGTGCCATAGTAATATGGTACACATGATACAAACTTCATAACTATTCGGAGAATATTACGAAAATAAAATAATAATTTAATTATTAACAATTTAATTTTTAAATTATAATTGTATAAATTATATTACTATATTTTATTAGAATTTACTTTAATCATAATAAATATTAAGCATACCTATATAATATCGCTATTAACTAATATAAGACGCGACTACAAATCGAAGTGAATTATTTTGTTTGATTTTTGCTTAAAATAATAAATCAAAACTACTTTAAAAAATAACTAGAAATTTCCAAATATATCTAATTCATAATTTCATATTAACAGTTTTAATTCAATTATTTTCCGAAATGTTCTTAAAAGCATAATTTAAACTTATTGGCCTAATGATGTTTTAATTATAATTAAAAAATTTAGATTGAATGAATATGGAAGGTAATTGATAAGAAATTTTTATAATTGTAATAATATAATGCAAATATCTTACTTGTATAACCAATAATAAATTGTTGTTACCAATTACGTTTAGAAAAAATAATCCCTTTGCGAATTGATAATTTATCATATAGTATCTAACCAAAATACAAATTTACAATTTCATATCAAAACATTTTCATACTAGATGATTTTTATTGTTTTATTGTAACAGTCATATATATTTAGAACCGTCCATGATACCGTGATTATATATTTTATTTTAGAATCGTATCTGTGTATATTAATTACGGTAAAAAGTCAAAAAAGATTCTCGGTTACCACCGTGTGTGTTACAGTGATCGCAAACGGCGATACTTATTACCTATATTATATATATTAAATGTTTAGATATATTACTTCGCCCGACCGTCACAACTATTTATATTATAACCGATGCATAATTATATTATGGTATATCGGCGTTTAAATCAATCGCAATTCATTCGGCCCGTTACTATGGCTGCGGTAACAACGGCGGTTGGTCGTGAATTCGTGATGCCGTGAACAGCACATATCGTTTTTTTCGTCGCTAAGTCGTCGTATTACATTTTTTCCGTTTGGAAAATTTCTATTCTCGTCGAAGTTTTTAATTTTTTATTATCGTCGACGACTCCATTCGCTGCACATGATTGGTCGCTTTAGTCGCCTCCGGTATTAATAAAATACCGAGCAGCGATATTATGGGGGAACCGTTTTTTTTTTTTTTTATGCATAGATTCATCGTGAGCGTAAAAAAAATAACGTCCGGACGTAAAAAATCCCCTCGGCAAAATGGCGGCCGTGGAAAATGGGTTAAGGCGAGGGGAGCGTGTGGACTTGTTTTTTTAAGTGTTAAAAAAAAAAACCGCTCTCGAAAATGGCTGTGCTGGGGCCAATAACAAGACGACGCGCGCGTGTCTCGTGCCACCGCGTTACGCGTAAAAAAAAAAACGTATAATAATATAATAGGCATAGTAATAATAATAACAAACCGTCCGTAACCGTACAATGAAAAAACGCAGACGCGAACAAAACCAAATCTCTCGTTTTTTTCCCCCTTCGGATGTTGCGCGTGCGACGGGACCCGCAGCAAAAAAGGAAAAAAAATCCGACGGAAAAAAACCGCGTACCTCCCGCCCGCCCGCCTTTCGTCAAGGGGTCGGAAACGTCGAGCGCGTGCGCGCGTTTCAAAAGCGCGGCGCGCGCGTGTGCAGCTCTCGGTCGACCCCTCACGGGCCGTCACCGCCTCCAGTGCGTATATACCGCACCGGCAGCAGAAAACGGTTTTTTTTTTTACACACATTTTCTTTTACGGAATTCCGTTTTGGGGTGCGCGCGCGTGTTATTATTTTTTCTCTGCTCGCCCTTTTTACGTACACATATAAAATATTTATTTATTTTTTTTGAATTTTTTTCTTTTTCACCCCCCGTGTCACGCGCGTTTTCCCCCTCGAGGTCATCGAGAGGTTCAACCAGCGCGCACGTTATACGCTCCACATGCATATGCACAATTTATATATATATATATATACATTATAGGTGGTAGGTAGTTGTACCTATTAATAATGACGCAAGGCGGCGGGGGCAAAACGGTTTCGAAAACGACGTTTTTCCTTTCCCCGGTCGGTGTGAAACGTGCAAGCAATATACGAAAACCGCCACACGTGTGTTTGGTCTTTTACTGCGGCGTATAGTCTTTTTAACCTTTACTACT